CAAAGATACTGTTTCCTGTTGATTTTGTCTCTGGATGGTCTTACACTGATGTAAGTGTTGTGTTAAAGCCACCTACCATTATTGTCAATTTCTCCCTTTATGCCTGTTAGTAGTTGCTTTATATATTTGGTTGTCCAATGTTGGGTGCATAGACATTTACAGTTACTATATCCTCTTTTTAGAATGTTCCCTTTATCATTGTATAATGCCAGGCTTAGACTTTAAAACAGAGACTGTAACATAAGACCGTTCTGTGTGATCTAAATATTGCTACCTTGGCTTTTTGTTTCACTGCTGTTTGCATGGAATCTTCTTCTGTCCGTTAAGTGTATGCATGTCTTTAGGTCTAAAGTAGGCCTCTTATAGGCAGCAAATGGATAGGTCTCTCTCTCTCTCTCTCTCTCTCTCTCTTTTTGTTTTTAAATCTTTTCCATCACCCTGTATCTTTTGATTGTAGCATTTTGTCCTTTTACCTTTAAAGTAATTATTCATAAGTATGTTCTTATTGCCATTTTGTGACTTACTTTCTGGTTGTTTTTCTCCATTCCTTCTCTTATTCTCTTCCCTTGTGGTTTGATGGCTTTTTGGTGTTACACTTTTAATTCCTATCTCCTTTTTTGTGTGTGTTTATCTATTATAGGTTTTAGATTTGCAGTTACCATTAGGCTAATATATAACATCTTATGGGTATAGCAGTGTATATTAAGTTGAGGGTCACTTAAGTTCAAACAGATTCTAAAAGCACGAAATATTTACTCCCCACCCACATTTTATGAATGTTATATTTTATATAATTTTATTTTGTGTATCCTTGATTCATTATTGTATGTATAATTCATTTTACTGCTTTTGTGTTTTTATCTCCATACTGGTTTTTTAAGAGATTTGCCTACCTTTATTATTTATTTTTATTTATTCATGAAATTTCTTCCTTTCATAATTGTCTTACTGTTAGGGCCTTTTCTTTCCACTCAGAATTCCTTTCAACATTTTGTGTAAAGCTAGCTTAGTGGTAATGAACTCCTTTAACTTTTGTTTGTCTGGGAAACTCTATCTCTCCTTCTATTCTAAATGATTATCTTGCTGGAGAGAGTATTCTGGTTGCAGGTTTTTTCCTTTAAGCACTTTGAATATATCATGACACTGTCTTCTAGCCTGCAAAGTTTCTACCAGGAAATCAGCTGATAGCCTTATGGGGTTTCCTTTGTATGCAACTGTTTTTGCTCTTGTTGCTTTTACAGTTCTTTTAATAATTAATGTGGCAGAAAGTAACGATAATGTAGGGAGATGTGGATCTCTTTAGATGCTCTGCCTCCTGAATATGGAGGTATGTTTCTTTCCCCAGGTTAGGGAAGTTTTCAGCTATTATTTCTTCAAATAAGTTTTCTTTCTCTCTTTTCCTTCTGAGATCCCTATAATGCTTATGTTATTATGCTTGATGAAATCATGGAGTTTCCTTATCTTCCTTTTTTTTTTGGTGCAGTTTGGCTGCTTTCCATTACCGTTTTCCAGATCACCACTCTGTTCTTTTGCATCCTTTGTTCTGTTGATTCCCTCTAGTGTGTTTTTTCCCCCCCCATTATTGAGTTCATCTCTGTTTGGTTCTTTTTTTTTTTATTTTCTATCTTTTTGTTGAAGATCTGCGATCTTTTTCTTTTTTTTTTTTTTCCTTCCTCAAGTCCCTTGAGTGGGGAATATCTTTATGACCATTACTTTGAATTCTTTATCAGGCATAGTGCTTATCTCCATGTCATTTAGCTTTTTTGCTGCGATTTTTTTTCTTGTTCTTTCATTTGGGATATAGTCCTCTCTCTCCTCATTTTGTCAAACTCTGGGTCTGTGTATTAAGAAGGTCAACTCTGGGGGCGCCTGGGTGGCTCAGTGGGTTAAGCCGCTGCCTTCGGCTCAGGTCGTGATCTCGGAGTCCTGGGATCGAGCCCCGCATCGGGCTCTCTGCTCAGCAGGGAGCCTGCTTCCTCCTCTCTCTCTGCCTGCCTCTCTGCCTGCTTGTGATCTCTCTATCAAATAAATAAATAAAATCTTTAAAAAAAAAAAAAAGGTCAACTCTGTCTCCTGGTCTTGAAAGTAGTGGCCTTATGAAGAAAAGCTTCTGTGCCCTGGAGCCCAGTGCCCTTGTTCATCAGAACCAGGCACTACAGGGGTGTCTTTGTGGGCTCTGTGCACCCTGCTGTTGTGGCCCAGTCACATTTGCCTTTAGTCCAGTTGGCTACAGTGACCTGTCTTATTTTGCTTGCTGTGGGCACATCATACCAGGTTTGGTCCTGCACACTGAGAGGCCTGAGACTACTGTATGGTTGTATGTGGGAGGTGTCTACATCTAGTTTGCCTTAGCTATGGGCACTTCAGAAGGCAGGGCACTTTCCCTGGGGGGCTCCCTGAGAAGCTTTTTTTGGTGGGAGGGGTGGGCAGTCAGAGTAGATATCTATAACCAGTCTATTTGCTGTAGCTGCAGGCACACCAAGTGCAGGGCACTCTCCTGGGGTGGCCAGCTCAAAGGTTTGGTTGCTGGTACTGTGGGTGTGCTGGTGTGTGGGGTTATCCCTGCCTCTACCCAAGAAAGAGTCACTTTGCAGTGGTGCTAGTCCTTGCTGGGGCTATTTACTGGATGTGGTGGGCAGGAGCTTCTTTTCAGGGATACCTACCAAATTGTGGGGTGTGGGCTGTATGGGGAGGGTGAGGTATATAGTGCTAGTGAGATAGGTGGATAGGGTTTACACAGATTCCCACACGTGTCAGGCTACTTAGGCTAGGGGAGAGGAAGTGAAGTGGTGCCTGCCTATACTTCTGTTCTTGGAGAAGTTTCCTGAAGATTCCTGCCCCTCCAGCACTTGTTCTGTGATTAGTAAATAAGTCTCTTTCTGTGTATACCACAGGCACTTTTCAAATTGCTGCTTCTATGCTGTATCTAGGCTGGGATATTTATTATAGGTTTTTTGTTTTGGGTTATTTTAGGGCAAAGACAGTTTCCCATTGCACTTCAGCTCTTCCAGAGCTAAGCCTGCTGATTTTTAAAGTACCTGGAGTTAAACCCTGCTGATTTTAACAGCTTTCAAAGTTAAGCCTCACTGGTTATCAGAGCCAAATGTTATGGGAGCTCATCTTTGCAGTGTGGTTCCCTAGTGCCTGGGGTACCTGGCATGGAGTCTGATCATCTCACTTCTCCACACTTGGGATGTCACTCCTGTTTGTGTTAGTCTCACCTGGGGGGTTTGGTTCCAGGGCAGCTCTGTCCCCTTCTTCACTAAAGAGGGCAGAAGATTTGGTCTTTCCACAGTTAACTTTGGAAGGTCTGTTTTGCCAGACTTTGGGTCATTTTTCAGAGTGACTTGCACAGATAGAGCTGTTATCTTGGTGTATCTGTGGAAGGAGTTGAGCTCAGGATGCTCCTATCACTCCATCTTCTTGCTCCCCGCCAACTCCTGTTATTTCTTTTTCAATGAACAGATCTCACAGCCTTTTATGAAGGGGTTTAAATAATTACAAAAGGAGTTTGAGTAAAAATCACTTGAAAATTACTTGCAGACATGATGAACACTTTTTCTTAAATATTTCAGTGTTCTTTAATAAAGGGGATACTCCCTAACATAACTATAATACAGTTGTAAAAATCAGGAAGTTAACAATGATATATTATCTAATACAGTGACATTTTATTCAAACTTTGAAAAGAATCAGATCCAAGATTCAACCCAGGATCAAACATTGCATTTAGTTGTCATTTATCATCAATTTTAAAAAATCTGGAACAGTTACTTGGCCTTGATCTTTTATGCTCTTGCTATTTTTAAAAAATGTATGCCAGTTATTTTGTAGTAAGTCCTTGATTTGGGTTTGTCTGGTTTCCTCAAGATTGGAGTTATACATTTTTGTCAGGAATGCTAGAGAAGCAATGTTATGTCTTAGTGCATCATAGGAGGAGGTACTTGATAGCTTTTTGTCCCATTATTGGTGATAATAAGTTAGTTCACTTGATATTGGTAGACCATAATAAAGATGCTTTTCCATTATAGGTACTCATATTGCAGGTTTGGTTCTAGACTACAGCAATAAAACAACTACCTCAATAAAGCAAGTCAAATGAATTTTTTGGTTTTCTAGTGCATAAGTCATGCTTCTATTATACCATGGTATATGAAATATATAATAGCATTATGTCTAAAAAAGCAATGTGCATAATACCTTAACATTTTATTACTAAAAATGCTAATCATCTTAGCTTTCAGTGAGTCATAATCATTGATCAACATAATAATGAAAAATTTTGAAATATTGTAAGAATTACCAAAATGTGTGATAAAGAGACATGAAGTACCAATAGATTCAGTTTGTAAAAAAATCAATATATATGACATGTGATAAAACAAAACACAATAAAATGATATATGCATGCATTACATATGTTAGGGGGAGGTAATTTGATATTATGTAAATACCAGTCTCGCGCTTGCTCATTTTGGCATTTATTAGTGATTCTTTCTTGAATCGGTTATTACTGTAATGGCTATCAAGCAGTGTCCATATTTACATAGATATTTCCAGGGAAGAGGTACAAACCTGTAATACTCTTTTTTCAGGTAGTCTTGCATCTCACCAGAGCCCGGGTGTGCCGTTAACCCTTTAGTCACACATACTGATGTGCACACATGTGGCAGTGACCAATAACATATTTTACTCCTCCTAGAGACTGCTTGTATTATGGGGCTGCAGTCCCTGCGTTGAGACAAATATGAATATACATGCATGCCATTATAGAAGAATGATGGCATTTTCTTCCTTTTTTTTCCCCCTGAAAATATCTTTCAGTGTTTAGCTTACTAAACGATTGCTCTATGGGGATTAATTTTGTCATCTGTATAGTATATCATGATAATTAGATAAGTGTTTTTTTTTTAACTTGTGAATTCTCTCAACAATTAAACTAGAGGAGGAGGCTTTTTGAAAGATATTTTTCAATTTGATTTTTAAATGTTATTTGTTAGGATCCGAGGTGTTGGAACAGCAGCTGTTAATATGTGCCTTGTGGCAGCTGGAGTTGCAGATGCCTATTATGAAATGGGAATTCACTGCTGGGATATGGCAGGAGCTGGCATTATTGTTACCGAAGCTGGTGGAGTACTATTGGACGTGACAGGTAAAATTATGGAACAGTAAAAGCATTTTTCTCTCTGTTGGACTTTCCTTTATATGTAGCTTTTTACCTTTAATGTTTAATATATATTAATATTTATTACATAAATTCTTAAAGGCAAAACAAAAGCAAGGCATGTAGTTTTCTGCAAAATAAGAATAACAAATTGAGGGGCGCCTGGGTGGCTCAGGAGGTTGAGCCTCTGCTTTTGGCTTGCGTCATGATCCCAGGGTCCTGGGATCAGAGCCTGCATTTGGCTCTTTGCTGAGCAGGGAGCCTGCTTCCCTCTCTGACTCTGCCTGCCTCTTTGCCTACTTGTGATCTCTGTCAAATAAAATCTTAAAACAAAAACAAAAACAAAACAAATTTAGAGATAGAGGCAAAGATAAGAAGCTAATTATAATGTGGGATTAATAATGATAAATGATTAAGCCTCTTCAGACATGAGTATCAGGAACTCTTTTTTTTTTTCCATCTTGAATTACTTTATTTTAAAATCACTTATACATGTGTAAACATAAAACCGAATAATTTAAGATACAACTATGAAACCAAAACATTTTCAAGTTAAAAATAAACCAAGCTATACAACAAAGAAAATTCAAAGGTATAATATTAATTCAATATGACCATTAATAGTGTCCAGAATCTCTAACAGTGCCTGCTGTGGCCATAGTTCTTTTACTTTCAGATGTGTGTTCCATACAGTGAGCTGGAGCTTGACTCAGTTTGTCAAAATCTTCATTTTGTCCCTGGCGTGAACACATTACTTAAATATGAAAGCTGCCTCCATTCTTTTCTCATTAGTCCAGGTTAAATAATTGTTGTACACCGGAACTCTTTTTTTTTTTTAAAGATTTTATTTATTTGACAGACAGACATCACAAGCAGGCAGAGAGGCAGGCAGAGAGAGAGGGAGAAGCAGGCTCCCTGCTGAGCAGAGAGCCCGATGCAGGGCTCCATCTCAGGGCCCTGGGATCATGACCTGAGCCGAAGGCAGAGGCTTTAACCCACTGAGCCACCCAGTTGCCCGAGTATCAGGAACTCTTGAGAAGCTACTGAAAACTATAGAAGGTCACTGAATCTGAGGTTTGTACCAAGAGCTTTTTGGTGACCACGGTGGTAGTTGACAATGAACTTGCCCCACCTTCACTTTCTGCCTTGGGCCTAGAGAGGTTAACTTCTATGAACTGATGGTGAATTTTTTTTTTTTTTAAAGATTTTATTTATTTATTTGACAGAGATCACAGGTAGGCAGAGAGGCAGGCAGAGAGAGAGGAGGAAGCAGGCTCCCTGAGGAGCAGAGAGCCCAATGCAGGGCTCGATCCCAGGACCCTGGAATCATGACCTGAGCCGAAGGCAGAGGCTTTAACCCACTGAGCCACCCAGGTGCCCCAAGATGGTGAAATTTTTTTAAGTGAAGAGTGAACCTGGGCTAAAAGTATTCACCAGTGATCAGGGAAAAAAGCAATGAAGAAGTAAAGAAATGGGAAGGAGAATGATACGAAAATGCTGTGCTGTGGAGTCAGATTTCCTGTCCGTAGATTCCCAAACATGAAAGAGGTAATAAAAGTAATAAAAAGATTAGAAAAAGAACACAGGAAAGAAGTAGATGAAGCTAATATTACATTGCATGTTAACTCATGAATTTAAATTTAGAAAAAAAAATGACATTTTTCAGACTGGTATGATTGAGACACCCCCCCCCCAAAAAAAACTCTGGTATTTACTAAAAGATTGTTAAAACTCATTTATGTATTGCCAAAGCTTAAACATTATGATAATGACAGTTTTTTTTTTTTTTAAAGAAAATTGAAAGTATTAAAATGTTATGATTGACCAATAGCACATACTATACTAGTTTTACAGGAATCATGTTTGGTTTGATTTTAGGTGGGCCATTTGACTTGATGTCACGAAGAATAATTGCTGCGAATAATAAAACCTTAGCAGAAAGGATAGCCACAGAAATTCAGGTGATACCACTTCAAAGAGACGATGAAGAGTAATTGCAGCAGCACCACGTAGTCACAGCTGCTTCGCCCCATATTTGCGGACACACTGACGGTGTTTTAAAACTTAGGACGTCTGTTTCGCGTGTGTAATATGTTTGGTTTAAATTATTTGATATCCAGATGAAAAATTGCATTTTGTTGTATATTTTACTAAGACGGAGTATGAAAGAACAGAGGAAATATTTCATTGTTTTAAAATATTTTGTGTGTAAGAATGTGCTTTGGGGAAAAATACACAGGCAGTTGATGAGAGAAGTATCAATCACATCAACTGCAGTAGTTAGCAATTTAGAGTTTCTAAGTATGTATGAGCCTCTGAAATTGACTATGTGCATAGCATTCTTAGAGAGGTAACTTTTTGGAAAAGATTTTCTCCTTAGTTCCCAAAGCCGTATTTAATTAAATTTGTAAGTCTGTAATGGGTACTTCCTAGACCAAGGTATTTTTCTTTGCAGAGAACCTAGTTTGACTCGTCAGTGTATACATACCACCTAGCAGAGTATCTGTCAAATATGGGCAATTAAAAAATAAGCATTGAAAGAATAAATATTTTGGAGGTAACAATTCCTAATTATAATATACATAAAGTAATGAGCTCACTACTCTTTATTTTTACTTTAGGTTTTAAAGTAAAAATTATCCCATCATCATTTTCATATTTTACATTATCATTCCTTTTAACATTTCACATTGCCATACCATTTCAATTACCATATTGCCAGATACCATTTCTAATTGTGGGCATTTCTATAGTTAATATATTTTCTAAGACCCTGCATGACAGTATTTATTTGGATTCAAGAAGCTGTTTCAAAAAAGCATTCTCATCAGCTATCTACTTTTCTACTATAATTGGATACACTGTAAAATTGTACTGAATTCAATATTCATGTTTTAAAGATGTTCATACTTCATGGTTGTGCCAAGGAAAACCTAGAACTGGCAGATATACTTTATTGTTAATATTGAACTATGTTTTTTCCCCAAATTTCTTAATTTCTTTGCCACCAGATTCGATTCAGTCTTAAAAAATACCTTAATAGTCTTTGGCTTATGAAACTTAAAGAAAATTATTCTGGTTTGTAGATATTTTAAAAGGTTAATTGACTGCTTAGCCTTGTCCCTGGGCACTTGAACAGAGATTTGTTATGGTCTCATGTGAGCCTTGTATTTGATAGAATGAAAAGTGCATCTGTAAACTAGGAGGTTATTTTATTGTTGTGCACATCTAATATATTTAAAAATATACTAAGATTTGAGTAATAAAGTTACTGTATTTGTGCTGTTGGTCATGTGCAGTAAAAATATCTTGTACTATATTACTCTGAGGTTAATTTTTCAATTAAATTTATTTTAATTAAGACTAATGAGAAATTTTAAGTAAGTATGATTGAATGTTGTTAAAATTTGTAGTTTAAAGTACTTCTAGGTGTTTTGTGTTGAGTTGTAAATATTTGACATTTGCAGTTGTGATTGAATATATGTTCTTGGGTTTTTTTTGCCTGCTGTTTTCCCAGCTTTTCTAAAAGACTTGACTTAATTTTTTATTCTAAAAGCAATTAGATAATCAGTGGCTGAAATTTCTTTGGATGTTGAAAAAGGATTGACAAGTGAGTTATCCAACAATAGTTTGAAAATTTGAGTAATAGTCCATTTCTCCAACTTTTTTAGCAGTTTCTTCTAGTATTTACCTCCATCTTTTTAACGAGGGATATATTCTGTTACATATTTATGGGTTTTATTCATTATCTGTTAACTTGCTGTTATAGAAGATAAGTATTTTGTACTTTTAACTCACCCGTGAGTTACCTTTATCTCTTCCTTTTCATCCTCCTATTACAATAATATCTTTCTTGTTACTGTTAAATTTATATTCAGTGTTTAACTTAGGACTTTTATTCACTGGTTAGCTAACTAGTAGTGTGTTATGATTATATTTTCTCTCCTGTGCAACTTTTGTTCTTCCTGAAATTAATACCTTTTCCCCAGGGTTGTAAAACCTCTTTGTTTCCTACTTGTCCAACCCTAATCAGGTATTCTGTTCTATTAGCACTCTTTTCTTTTCCTCCTATAGATACACTTTTGGGGGCCCTTTTTCTTTTCTTCCAGTGTAAACTGGTTACTGGGTAAGTATGCTGCACCACCGTCCTGGACCTTCTTTTTATTTCTCTTATGTTCAGTCATCTGTGTCCTTGATCTTCCTGCTATTCTCTCATTTTGGTGCACCCATCTTCCAGATACTTAGAGGTAGGTTTTGAAATCTCACAAGAAAATGTCTATCCCTTCATTGATAGTTTGGGTAGTTTTGTTTTGTTTAAGATTTTATTTGTTTGACAGAGAGAGAGAGATCACAAGTAGGCAGAGAGGCAGGCAGAGAGAGAGAGGGGGAAGCAGGCTCCCTGCTGAGCAGAGAACCCAGTGCGGGGCTCTATTTCAGAACCCTGAGATCATGACCTGAGCCGAAGAAGACAGAGGCTTAACCCACTGAGCCACCCAGGCACCCAGTTTGGGTAGTTCTAAAATGCTAGCTTGAAAACAGTTTTCTCTCAGAATTTGCCTCGCTTCAGAATTGAGGGAGAAGTCTTTCAATTTTCAATCCATTAACCAAGTCTTTTTTTTATTGAAAATCTTAGAAAACTCCTGAAATCAAAAGAAAATCCTAAATTTCCTAGTGATAGGATTTTTTTTTAATCCATTGTGCTAATTAGTTATTCATATCCTTTCATTCTGTGAATTTAAGTCCTTTACTGTTTTGCTTCTTTCGTTTCCTCCCTTCCTCATTCTCTGTTCTCTTTCTGGAATTTCTCTTATTCAGGTATTGGACCTCCTAGATTTATCCTCTTATTTTCTTTCTTTCTTTCTTTTTTTTTTTTTTAAAGATTTTATTTATTTATTTGACAGAGAGAGAGAGATCACAAATAGGCAGAGAGGCGGGCAGAGAGCGGGGGAAGCAGGCTCCCTGCCAAGCAGAGAGCCTGATGCGGGGCTTGATCTCAAGACCCTGAGATCATGACCTGAGCCGAAGGCAGAGGCTTAACCCACTGAGCCACCCAGGAGCCCCCTTCTTATTTTCTATTTAACATCTCTTTGCTTTTGTTTCTAAGGGACTTCCTTAACTTTATCTTCCTACCCTTTTATTTACTTTTTTAATGTTATGCTATCTCTTAATTCTATCCCTGTCATTATCCCTTGAAAGTTCTTCAGTTTTCAGGGTTTATTTTAATGAAAATATAACATTAAAATTTGCAGGTACAGGTCAAGCACTGCTTATAGGGAAATCTATAGCCTTCAATGCAAGGTAAAACAAAAACAAAAAACAGTATAAGGATTGATTGCTTGTGGAACATAAGGAATAACAATGAAAGACATTAGGAGAAGGAAGGGAAAAGTGAAGGGTGGTGGAATTAGAGGGGGAGATGAACCATGAGAGACTGTGGACTCTGAGAAACAAACCGAGGGTTTTAGAGGGGAAAGGGGTGGGGGGTTGGGGGAACCCAGTGATGGGTATTAAGGAGGGCACATATTGCATGGAGCACTGGGTATTACATGTAAACAATGAATCTTGGAGCACTACATCAAAAAGTAACGACATACTATATGGTAACTAACATAAGAAATTACATGAGGAAAAAAATGGATTGATTGGAGAAATAAAACTAATTCACTGTCTGATTTCCCACTTAGGTTATTTGCAGATCCTTTTGGATTTTCTTTCTAATTAGTGTCTTTAGTGGTGTTACTAGAGATAAGGTCAAAGTACAAAATCATTTGTGTAAGCTAGAAACACCTAAGATAGCTTTTTAAATACTATGGATCTTCATTAAATACTATCCAATATTTGTCTAATGAAAGATGTACAAGAGCTCTGCACAGAAAAAGTACAAAACAACAAATTTTTAAAAGATCTGAATAGTAATAATATACATATTTATTGTTTAGAACACTATTTTTCCATTGTTAATTCCTGTCAAATTGATGTAAATTGAATGCAGTCCACCAAAATCCTAATGGTTTGGGTGAGGGCGTGAGGGCTAACAACTTACCTGGAAATATAGAGAGCCAAAAATAGCAAAGACCATCTTAAAGCACAATAGTGAAGTTAAAAGACTATACCACTAGTTATCAAGACTTGTTATAGAGGTGCCATAATTAAAACAGTTTTACTACTAGCACAAGGATATTCAAATAGACCAGTGGAATAAGGTTCAGAAATAGACCAACATATAGAGCTATCTAGTTTAAGATAATTACTGGAATAAGAAAAAGATGGTCTTTTTAGTAAAGGTGTGGAATCAATATGAATATCTGAAGTGGGAAAAATCTTGATCCACATGCACAAAAATCCATTCCAGATGGATCATAAATATGAAAGTAAAGCTTCTAGAAGATAACATAAGAGAATAACTTCTTTGTGGTAAACAACAAAACACACAAAAAGCACTAATCCTAAAGGAAGATTGATCGAGCTACTTTTATCATCTAAATATACGAGTAGGAGAGTCAGAGGGCAACCCCCAAAGTTTGTGATAATACATCTGACAAATTCTATCCAGATTGTATAAATAACTCCTTATCAATGAAGAAGATAATTGGGACTCTGGTCCAAGATGGCTACGTAGGAAGATCCTGAACTCACCTCCACACACCAAGTCTGCACTCATATGTAACACAATTCCTCCTAAAGAACTGAGGGCTGATTAAACAGCTTCTGTACAAAAGACCACATAAAGAATGGCAAGAGGGATGGAGATAGTAATAAAGGGAACTCCCACCCAGGACACATACTGCAGTGGGGAGGGATACTACTGAAGGACTATGAGCAAATTGTGAGCCCTGGGGTCCAGAAAAAAAGCAATAGTTTAATAAAAGAGCAACTAGAATATAAAGGAACTAGCCCTAGCATCCTACCATATAGTAAGGGAGCTGCTGGAACACTCTAGGTCAGAGGGGCTGGTGAGCACCATGGTTTATATTCTCTCCTTCCACCTCAATAGTGTGGATGGGAGCAATGTCCAGGTACTATAGCTGGCCTTATCCCCTTCAGTGAATCCCCAGTCCCTAGCCCATACCAGCCCTAGCTGTCTCACCAGGTGGCCCCAGCATGACAAACACTGAGGCACTCCAAGTATGTGCTCACTATATATAGTTCTAGCGGTTACACCAAGGTACAGTAAGTATAAGCCAACCCAGAACTTTCTAGGCCCATATCACTTTGGCTCTAGGTGGTCTCCTGGCTCACACCTGCTTCAGTTACCCCACCCACTAAAGTGCCCCCTATGCACCTTGTCCTGGGACACCCAACTTGGCACTGCCCTTGGCTCCAGTCACTCTGCTAGGGCACCCCCTGTGCTGAGCACACTCTGGCTTATACCCACTTGAGCTTCAGCTGTATCCTAGTGTTCCTCCTGTGTAGAGTGCCCCAGGACCCTGCAGTTTGTGCCCCATCTACGCTTCAGCTCCCCGCACCCTGGGGTGGCCCTATGATGAGTGCCCCAGGACTTCTTGGCATTTGGCTCACCTTGCCTCCAGCTGACTTGCCCGGGTGCCCTGTATTTGGAAAAACCTGGGACAACCTGGGTTGCACCCACTTCAGCTTCAGCTATCTTGCCAAGATGGCTTCTACACAGAAAATCCAGAGACTACCCCAGCCCATGCTCACTTCAGCTGAGCTGCCAGGCCACTCTCTGGGCAGAGAGCCCCAGGGTCACTCCAGTCCATGCCCACTTCAGCTCTGGACATCCCACCAGGGCAGCCCTAGCAGAGTGTCCAGGGACCCCCATACCAGTCACAGCTCTAGGCAGCCAGCCAAAGTTACCAGGCACAGGATCTGCACAGGGGATGACCATACACAAGACCATTCCTTCAAGTTTAGGAGAAGTAGCTGTTCTAATTCATAGAAACAAAGTCAAGCAAAATGGGGAGATAAAAGATTATGTTTCAAATGAAAGAAGACAAACCCCAGAAAATTAAATGAGACACGGATGATCAATATGTCCAATAAAGAGTTTAGAATAATGATTGTAAAGATGCTCATCAGACTGGAGAAGATTGTAAGAATAAAATAACTTTGACAAGGAGACAAAAAAAAAAAAAAAAAACAAACAACCAAGGGCTGAAGAATACAATAACTGAAATGAAAAAAAAAAAACTGATGGTTTTGGAGGGAAGGGTGTGGGGGGTTGGGTGAGCCTGGTGGTAGGTATTAAGGAGGGCACGTATTGCATGGAGCACTGAGTGTGGTACATAAACAATGAATCTTGGAACACTGAAAAAATAAAAGTTAATAATAAAGAGGGGTGCCTGGGTGGCTCAGTCATTAAGTGGTTGCCTTTGGCTCAGGTCATGATCCCAGGGTCCTGGGATCGAGCCCCACATCAGGCTCCCTGCACAGCAGGAAGCCTGCTTCTCCCTCTCCCACTCTCTCTGCTAGTGTTCCCTCTCTTGCGGTCTCTCTCTGTGTCAAATAAATAAATAAAATCCCTGAGAAAAAAAATTTTTTTAAATGAAAAAAGAAAAATACACTACAGGGAATCAAGAGTCATAGTGGATGCAGAAGAATGGATCAACCATTTGGGGGATAATGGAAAGCACCCAAGCTGAACAGCAAAAAGAAAAACAAGAATTTTTAAAAACGATAGTTTAAGGGAGATTTTGGACAACATCAAGTGAACATTTACATTATAGGTGTTCAAGAAGAAGTTAGAAAAAACTTATTTGAAGAAAACTTATTTGGCAGAAAACTTATTTGAAAGAAAGAATGGCTGAAAACTTCCCTAACCTAGGGAAGGATACAGACA